TAGATATCGAGAAGAATTTAAGAAGTAGTAGGGGTATATCACACCCACTGTTTTTGAAAATTATGGAAGCAATGCCATCTGGTCCCGTGCTAGTGGAAGGTTTCAGGCTTTTAACTGCCTGTTCTATTAATTGGTCGGTGAACACTATGCTTCCGAGGAAAGAACTAGTAAGGGGGCCGGTGTCACCAGGAATGCGCGTTTCTAAACTGAAGTTTGCAAACCACTCACTGAATATTTCACAGATGGTGGAAGGCTCATTGTAGATAACTTTGTCATGAAGTAAATAGGGGATGTCCCTCGTCGACTGCATTCGCTTTTTAAGAAGCGTTGTTAAGTTATAAACTTTGGAGGTGCTTTCAAGTGCCCTTAATTCTTCGTCGAGGTCCTTTTGAGAGCGTTGGCGCTTGACAGATTCAAGAGACTCATGGATTGAGTGCAGTAGTGATATATCCTTAGTTGAATAGTACTGTTTCTTCAACTTCCTTAACTTATCAACGACATATGCGCTTGGTTCTCATGGGAAACCGTTCACCTTTGCAGATGAACTAAAAGTAGCTTATGCATTCCAGTCTGATGACCTAGGGTACTTCCAGAATGTTGTGCAAAAAGAATTAGATAAAGTGACTGCTTAATCGTCTTTATGAAATCTACAATTTAACCTGAAAAAATGTGGTTGGATCTGCTTCGGTGCACCCTCAATCGACATGAAATTAACGCTTCAATCTGTTAACCTTACCAGACTCCAAAGTGTCGTTGACTTAGGTCTGAGGTACTCGAGTAACCTAACATTTTCTGAGCAAGTGGCATCACAGACTCGAAAGTCGAGGATGCTCTTAGGATGCATACTCAGGAACTTTCACGACAATGAAGTCAAGCTCATTCTGTACAAAACATGTGTGAGGCCACTACTAGAATACTGTCCATTTATTATTAGCAGCACTCACACACGTGAAAAGCTAAGAATAGAAAGTATCCAACGATATTTTACCTCAAAACTACTTGGCTGCGAATGTAAGAAAGACTACATCTCACGGTTCATGATTCTTAATCTTAATCCACTTTGGACAAGACGACTAATTGTAAACCTAGTATTCTTCTTTAAGGTCCTACACAAAATATCGTTCTCAGACAATAAGGACATACAAATCGCACATGAAAGCTCTTACGATCTGCGTAACCGAACTTGTACAGTGACAATAAAAGCGTTTAAGTCAACACTCCATGAAAACTTCTTCACAGTCATGTATTCTAAAATATGGAACAGCCTGCCTCTAGAATTCAGAAATTGCAACACGGTAATAAGTTTCAACCGCTCGCTGTACAGACTGTTTTATCCTACTGATTACATTAATAAACTATTTATTCCTAGAAAGAATCAATTATTAGTTTACTGTAGTACCTAATAGACGCAAATAAGTACCATAATTACTCTATAAACGATAAATAAACCAGTCACTTAGATGCATAAAAAGACTAAGTAGAAATAAATCTGTATGTCTAATAAATGATAATGTACAATGATTATAAACATGTTAGTACAAACACTAGGGTGATAGTAAAGACCAATTACCTTTTCTTTGCTCTGTGGTACTTTGCTGCTCGCCTCTTTTCTTCTATTTGCCTTGTAGTAGAAGTTGTGTAGATCTACTTTCAGACTGAAGGTGGAAAACAATTGAAATCACGGCAACTCTAAAGAATAGCAGCCCAAACCGAAACTACCTAGCGAAAGGACAAATGACGCTGAGCAACCAATCAGGTGACTGTGTTTTTCCAGACGTACTTATTGGTGCTGTACACCTTTTACCTTGCGAATTCGCTCCAGATCTTGTTTTGATTACCGTTTAGAGACTGATAGGGAGGTCGAAAAATTGGCAGTATGGAGGTGTTACAGATTCCTTAGGTACTTTTGATAAAAAGAAAATATAATCAAGGGAGATTGAGTGCGATAGGTATTGGGGATATATGACACCAGCCTCCAGAAAGATTATATTGAGGCGATCCCTAATCGCAGTGCAGGTGTATTATTGCCTATTATCCAGCGCTTAGTGCTGAATGGGACGACTATTCATACAGATGAATGGAGTAGTTACAGTCACTTATCGAATCTGGACTATATTCGTCAAGTGGTCAACCAGACAAATGGTTTTAATAATAATTTATATTTTCTTATAAACGTAAATTTACATGAAAATGCATGCCATTTTTACAGGCACAATCCCTTGATGGAACTCACACTAGTTCCATCGAAAGATACTGGAGTCACATAGAAAAACGTATCAGATCTGTGAATGGATCAAGAAATGCTATGATATTCAGTTATCTCGATGAGTTTATCTACAGGACTTGGTTTAATATGAGTATCAAGACTCCTATGAGGAATTGGGAGGTTTTTTGCAACATATACGAGAACGTTGCCATTTGTAACCATTTTTAACATCGCATTACTTTTATATAAACGATTTATTACAATTATTCGCCTTTTTCTGAGCCTTCTGATGGGACGAAGTTGTCCTCGTGAAGGTCATTTGTCCGTTCGCTAGGTAGTTTCGGCTGCTAATTTTCAGAGTTTCCGAAATCACTTACTCATGTATCATCCTTCAAGATTTGGCTAGTAATGACTCAGCATCCTCGGAATATCCGCTGTCACCATAACAAGACGCTGTACAGCATTCTATACAAGCACTGTCAATGATCTAAAATGGCGTATATATAGCTTTCTACGTTTTAATCAACCATGCAGTGACAACTGGCGGTCTTGGCTGACGTGGGTGCAGTAATACAAATCTGCCTGACAATAACCAATATTAATGTATATCTAGTTTAATTCACATCTGGTGTTACATACGATAAAAATGCTGTCAAAATCATACAAATAAATCACTCATTTCAAATTATTACCCAATTTAAATATGAATCAATAACAAGAAACGATGCCGCACATACCAAAGTTATATGGAGGAATTGACTTCAAGCTTTATTTTTTCCCAAATATTTGTAATCCATCTAACACATACTTGGGTTTTTTTGTTAATGCGAAGACAATATTTCTATATTTCTTAATCCGCTCGTTTGAATGACTAGCTAGCAGACTGTACTCACAAACTAATGTCAGAAAGGACAGAGACCAGGTAATTTCACCATAAATCAAATTTATGTAATGTAAATAATACTTATCCATGCCTGTACAACTGGTGTGTCCTACATAGGTAGGAATAAATATATATTATATCTGGTCTTGACAACAAGTCCAAGATATCACCCACTTATGATAGATCGTGGACAGTGCGCAGTCATTTCACGTTATGTTCTTCATATGAAAAGATCCGCTTACGCGTTATCTATCTCTCCCGGAGTGCTTAGGGTCATAAATATGGTAGCATTTAACACAAAATTCACCCTCAGAACTCAAATGACTTTTGACTGATTCCTTATAGTTTTTGAAATGCAGGTAAGAAAGCATATGACGAGTCTTTTGTGCAAGGTGTACTCATACCGGTCGCGTTTTCTAATTGGGCAACTCTTATTGTAACTCTGTTAGAAGTAGATGGGAAGACATATGGAGTCTGTGGTGACCATTGTTCAATGCTTGTCAGTCAAACCATTATGTATGCACAGAACTCGACTTAAACAAGTTAGTATAAACTATTAATGTAGCTTCATATATGCGACGATAAGAGTTTGGAGCATTCAATCTGCATGAAGATTTCCAGACATCTCTAAACAGAGAGATGAAACTTCAGTGCGTTTTTTTGGATTCCCATGTTTGGATGACAGAATTGTTATTCCTCTTACATTAGGATGCACAGGATGGGGTGATCTTTATTCCGCTGATTAGGTAGTCTGGAAACTGCAATTCTTAGCCCGTATAACGTGTTGATGGCTGATATTGTCGGAAGACCGAAGTGATGTCCTAGTCGTTTGCATAAAATGCCTTAAGTGACGTTACTGTAGGGTCTATGACCTGCATCCTGTGAGACATAGAAGCTTATTCGTGCAGTTCCTCGTCATATTCATATAACACCGTTGTTATCATTGTTTATTCTTGAAAGCCTAAACAAATAAATACTAACAGCCCTAATGCGGAATTCTTACAGAGACCTTTGGAAAAATTTTCACTGAAAAGAACTTCAGTGACTGGAATCTGAATTTAGGTCGCCACCATATTTATACAACATAACGCCATCAACTGTCAAACGGGTTGGCAGTAAACTTTGTATGAACACTTGAGAAGGCCATAGCATCAATAAAATCCCAAAAATTTTCACGGGCTTGGGAAGTGTTTCATTACCTTCTTGATTTGACAGAGAAAATGAAGAGTACAGAAATTCTATTGGAAGCTCTGCAACATACATTAAATATTGGATCCGTCTAACACATTCAATTAATAACTAATGATTACATTACTAATATTCATGTGGCACACCCTACAGAAATAAATGAGTCTGACTTCTGTGAAAGGGCTAGTGAAGAATCTGTTAGAAGTTTTTACAGGATTTCTAACGTTTCATTTACCAATACTTACAGGACTTCACAGTAAGGGGAGTTATTCCGAACACCTTACTCTAGTTACGCGATAAATTCTCCCTGATTATATCTCTTGTACCTCATAAAAGTGGAAGACTGACATTCGAAATAGTTCTATTGAATTGTGTTCAAGATAATTTCGTGAGGACTGGTGAAGACCTAACTAAAAAAATTATATCACCACTGAAACTTGGACTGCCTACCTTGTAATTTGGCATTAAGTAACCACTTTATTGTTTTCAAAAGCCCCCACTTGGTACTTCCATTAGGACATTTGTTTTTATTACTCCATCATTTTTCCTATTCTCATTATCACAAATTGTCTTACTGTTTAGGGATGGTCTGTACAGAAGACAGTTGACCACTACAGGATGAGTGATTTAATTTCGTTCTCGATTTCTCAATCAATAATCAGTGTTACCTTGTATGTAGTGAAATGAACTTTGTTTTAAATGAGTAGTTCAGTCAAATATCATAGCAAATAAAGGCAGTATTTTAAAATGATAACACAGTGTCCTGATAAGATTAATGAGCTTCTCTCAAAGGTATATAGATTTTTTTGTCATTGCCTTCAAAGACGACAGATGATTTAGCTCTTATGAATGTGATTGTAGCGAATGGCTTAGAAAACAATGCAAACGACAAGTCTCTCCTTCAGTCTCTCGTGAACAAAGCTCATTGGAATGTCAAAGTAATATTTTTCTTTTCACATTCCTAATTCAGAACTTATCTCATGAAATCGCTCTTAAAACGACACAGGAGTTTTGCTCTTCATTCGACTACTCAAGTGACATCTATAAGTCTGATGAGCGAGGTTTGCTTGCTCAGCGTCCAAAAGTTTCTCTTCGAACAAATACTAATGAACAAATGTTAGTTGATATCAAGTTGGTATTATCTATCTTATCATTCTGTAAATCTTCGCTTCTAAGGATCAAATGAGGCGAATAACTCACTTTATTTTCTTATGATAATTTTAAAAAGCTGGCTATTGAGCAAAGAATATTCCTTTCTCTATAATTCTTCATCAGCTTCTACATATATGCAATGGCAATAATGTAAAAAATATTGACATTAAAAACACTATTGTTTCTGATTACATTAAATGAACAGTATCGACAGATTTCTGTCAATATATATATATTGACAGAGAGAGCCTGACGATAAATTTGTCAAAAGGAATATTCTTTGTTCATTAATCAGCCTTATGTATTTTTGAAATCTTAATTAAACCCCAATTTAAGTTTTAAAAAGCTTCAGTGAATCAAGATGGTAACTTTTTATACTGTATAGTAGAACAGGACCATGAACCTTTGTACAGCTATAACAAGCCCATTCGAAAATTGAAAATGTTTTTGTGTTTTGTCAGTGACCTTTAGGTAGGGCATTCACTGAAATGATTAGTTCGTTCACAATAACTGCACGATATTAACATACTGCATTCTGCAAACCACATATAACCAACCTCCAAAAGATCCCACTTGTAGTTGACCAAGGTTACAGCAGGCACGTGCTGGACAAACTGCAAAGAATTTAGCCGAAAATCAGGGGCTTTTACCGCACAACCAATGAACGAACCAAAGTGAATCAATATGACTTACACTAGCTCAATGAAAGGATTTTGGATATACTTGGTAATGACATACGAATATACTTGAATCATGAGACAGCAACTGATATATATGTATATATATATACGCATATGTATATATGTAAGGAGGGAAAACTAATCGACTAAATCATGAAGCTCCATCGTTAAAGATGACTAGGAAATGTGTTACTCATGCCTAGTCGTCACAGTTTCTGACAGTGATTTTGGTCAAAGAACAACATACTATAGATGCATGAAGTCTCTGGCATTTTGTTTCAGCTACGTTAGTAGGTATAGACTGTTCGGCTGGGGTTCTTGAGGGGGTAGGATGGAAGTTTAACATTTCGATGAGACCACTTACTGAAACCCTGTTACTTTGTTTGAATGTCTGTTTCAAGACAAGTTGTTAGCGAAATGACATTACAAACGTTTTGACTTTTCTTTCCCATGAGGGTAGATTTTCGTGGTATGACTTTCAGAATTGTACTGTTGTATCATAGGTTTACCCAAGAATTATTTCTCAAAATATTTTAAAGACTGCTAGTGATTTGGACTAAAATAAATTTATTTTTTAATATGCTACAGGAAGAGGTTTGATATTTTCTCTATTTCAAGTGTCACATTTTGTTGTTCTAAAGACTCAAAAAACATCTCTCTGAACATTGAAATGTCTGTCATTTTCCACATGTTATTTTCTAACGCTATAAAGTCAAGTCCTCTTGCAGTTACATTAATTTCCCCTCTCCGTTTTATTGTGAATGTGACAAGCTGAATCGATCTACTTTTATATTCTACTTTAATCAGCCTACACTTGTTGCGGAATATTTCACATTTTTCAGCATCATAAAATTTTAGTTAGTCACTAGAGAGACGTCATTATTTCCACTGATTGAGATACACGGTAATAATTCGCAGCGTATCAATCTTATTTACATCACAAAATTTGACCTACTTGATACCATTCCATATTAGTTTGTTTATTAGATGTATCACACAGTGAAACAGTATTATTTACTGGATGACAGAACAGAATTTAATGTCCATAATCATGTCAATTATAATCACACGACTTCGAAACTTGAGTTTTATAGTTTTTTTTTGTTCTCTCCTATCTGTCGTAGGGGTATTAGAATTTTCCAGATATCTGGGACAGGTGTTGAATCATTCCCATTACACGTATTTGCAGTTGATTCGATAAACAAAGCTTCTGTTATCAATCCCTCCCAATACCCTGTGACATTAGATTTTAAAACTGTCATCCTATCCCACCCTATTGTATGGTTGTGCATAATTGCCTGTAGTGCTATAGCTGAACTATTCTTTAGATTTCTTATCTTATTCGGGTCAATTAATCTAGATTTTGCTAGGTTTTTATGTTCGGCTAGTCTGACTGACTGCTCCTGTTCCACTACTTTCACCTATGTATTTGACCTGAAAATCGTTCCAGCAGGGTACTAGATAAACTAAATTGTTTTGTTTTAAAGGCTCCACAGGATCCTTTAACCGACAAAGCTTGTTTCTAATTGAGTTTGTGGGTTTTAATGCCAGCCACTTTTATTCCTGCCTTGTTAAGAATTCTGCTTAAGGTTTCCCAGGTTCCTTCCTTGTATGGAATCATCAGTAGTAATTCCACTCTCCAGAGGCGAGTTGATCGTCCGACGGTGACATGGAGGAGGTCATGTGAAGAGGAGATGAAAGCATGTGGGTAGACGTGGAGCCAGGTGAAAACGTTGGCAGAGAGCCGAGGGTAATGGAGACGTGTGGCTGAAACCCTATGTTACTCTAGGAACTAAAGGAAACAATAAAAATATAATGTTAATACGTTCTGTCACATCATCAAGTCCACTACAATCAGGAATATCATTTGTGATAGTGGACAGCCTTGTCTAACTCTTGTGTTCACGTCACTGAGTTTTCCGTTATGGGTCACTTGTCATATAGCTGTTGAATGATGTTGAGGAAGATTTGGGGTACTACGGAGTTTTGAAGCGGTCTCAGAATTACTTTACGGTCAACGCCGTCGAAGGTCTCCTCAAAGTCGAAGGATTCGAGGTAGGGATTTGACTGCCACCCTGTGCTCAACCCGATGATGATGCGCAGCATTGCAAATCGGTTCCCAGATGATTTGGCTTTCTTGAGTCCAGGCTATTCTGAGAATGAGTTCTGCATCGACTGCATGTTTTAGTCTCTTCAGGATGACGTGACTTATTAATGTGTGTGGTGTAGATGACTCTGAGTCAGTTCTCGTAAAGTCTTAAGTCTCTGTCTTTTGGCGTGTTGATAAGGTAGTTCTCCTTCCAATCAGTACGTGGTTTTCCTTCTAAATCATTCGCGACAGTGGTGTGTGCATGCCCGCTTAGATCTCTGTATCCGCTGATGTTTCACCGATTTGCTGTCTTCTTTTCCCGCTTTATAATCTGTATGGTATTCAAAGCATTCTTTTCTGTCGAAGGTTCGATGCTATCCTACAGTCCTGCGGCTGAGAGTGCTTTTTTTAACCTTCTATTATTCGTCACTGTACTCCGCGTAACGCTTAAGAAACTAGTATTTATACCTCACAATTCTTATATAACTGCATTTCTTTCTTTTATATTTAGATACGAGCGACGTGAATGCATCTGACCTATTGTTGGACGATGTAGGCGAGCTGAACATAAATGACTAAATACTGAACTTGTGCCATAAATCTATACTCCCAAGTATTTTGGTACAATAATTATCTATTTGGTTTACTCCATGGTTTCGTGTTCTACGCCCAAGCTTCAGTGTGTCGTTTTTGCTGTTTGGTGTGTTTCGAATCCTATCTATTAATTTAAGCCTCTTCTAGAGCTCCAGTAATGCTTAAATCTGCGGTGTTGGGCTCAGTGACTCCTTCACTACTCCTCTTTACTAACTGGGTTCGCTTCATTATCCTTCATCGGTATCGTCTCTATCGATCTTTCAAAACATCGCGACTTGGTTATACAGTGTAGTGATCTGGGATCTCTCCTAAATGAATCTTGATCCTTATCTAGTTGTCACTGTGCCCTAGAATAGTCTTTTTCCCTCCCAGAGCACTTTTTGACTCCCTTATTTAATACGCTGTTGGTTAAACTCAGCGTCTCCCTTAATCGTTTATCTCTTCTTCGAATTATCTGTTTCTGACATCCATGCTCTTCTGTTAGCTTCCACCCGTCAGTACAGAACCATTCCCTGCCTTGCCTTTGCCTCTTCTGCCAAGAAGTTATACATGTTTCATTCAACATCTCTTCCAGAGGGTCTCAGTGTTCTTCTGCATGGGTTTCCCTAATGATGCCTTTATGGAGTGACCGAGTATATATATGACTAACGAAATACAACTGACGATGACGGAACGACTGGTATTGCCTGCTGGTTAAATTCCCCTGACCCGGTGAGTGAATTTAGAAGACTCATGCTTTGATGAAGGATACATGCTTTATCACAACAGGGTAAATTATCTGTCACTTAAGGTTGTGTATGGAAGTGTATCAATCAGCTGTACAGTACAATAGTATAAGAAAATGACTAACATATATGAACCAAATAAAGTATACAAGGTAATTTTTTACCCCCAACTGGTTTCTGACTGCCATGTCATGTGAAAAAGGCCATACCTAATTATTTAGTTGATAAACAGACAAGATAGATTGTGAGCCATCACTGACTAACGGTCAATAGAAATACAGCAAACCATATCAGATTGGTAAATAAAACAGACACCGTGTGACCATGTATCAGATACTACATAGCGTCTCCGTCTTTGCTGAGATAACCGTAGTGATTTTGTCCTTTACGGTTTCTTCTTCAACTTTCCGGGTGTCAAAATTGAATCATGGTCTATCCATAGCTGCTTCGAAGTCCCACAACTTAATTTTAGCGAGAATTGCATTAGAGAACAGCCAGAGCCCACATCCGCTGTACTTCTCCACCTTGTGTCTAGCAGATCACATCTCCATTTTCTGCAAACTGAGATGAAATCTGTCTGCTTTTTGGTGTGCTCGTCAGACGAAATATATGTCTCCTTGTGCATATCCTTGTGCTTCCTTACGCTAACACCTATCATCATATCATATCACTGAGGATACAGAATTCCGAAAAGAGTTTCCTTTCTCATTCATTTCGACAAGAGCTTAGTAGCCCACAATGAGTCCTGTTCCTGTGCTGTCTGCTCCTAATTTACAAGACAGTTATATCGCCCATTAGGATTTCGATCTCACTATTTGGAGTTTCGTCGACTACTGTTTACAGTTGTCTGTAGAAGTCCTCCGCCTTCTCTTGTTCTCTGTTGTTCGTCTGAATAGTCCACTTCCATTAGGCCTATTTTTACAGATTTCTAACACGTCTTTGCCATGTCCTCTCATTAACTTCTCGATCTTAAGAGCCTTCTCAGCTTCAAAAGCTGTGCAAGTATTCCATGTTTCTGTGATTATTTCTCCTTTGACCGAAAGAACACAGATCGGCTTAATGACTTCCCGAGTGCTTTCACCTCTCCGGCTCCAGTTAAGAATGAATTTTCTGTGCCTCGATGCTTC